CAAATTTAGACTCAGAACTCAAATGATTTGGACTCCTTAAACATAAGTCCTTGTCCTGTAGTGATGGAGATTCTCTTTCCACTAGGTGTAGTCACCTTTACAGTCTTTCGTTATCCTTGAACTAATCCTTCTGCCGGAGTGATAATCTTGGAGGGATCAAAGTTTTCACTCTGTAATACTTTTTGGATGAGAGCAGAGTTGTCGTCGACGCACTTAGGATCATTCTTTTTGTATTTGAAGAGGAGACCCGTGAAATTAAAGTCAAAGCATGGAGGTGCTTGCTCCCTGTGGATAGGAGTTGAGATCTCATCTAGAAAGTTGCAATCTAAGAAAATTTCGAAACTAAGTTGTCATATTTCATCTTTGACAAATGGTTCAAGAAATTTGTAGCATGGATAATCTTCTTCCTCTCTTATGAATTGTCCATTTAGAGTAAGAAGATAATGATCCATTGGAATTGCTCTTTTTCTGGGTGCGAGTTTTTCTCCGTGCATTACCCTTTTCTCGGGCTCGCTTAAGATCCTCTAGAGTTGGTTCAAAACCAAGTCCAAAAGTATCTAACTTAGGGAGGCCATGTAGTTCCCTTTTTTTTTTTTTTTTTTTTTTTTTTTTGCTATTCCTTTCTTCTTTCCTAGAGTAATTCCAGGAAATGTCTCTAAGTATCTAACTTAGCCAATGTTTTGAAATAGCATTCAAGCACTCTCTACCTTCTCAAGGTTTAGATCTCAAGAGACCGATAAATGTCATAGTGACAAGGAATGGTAGGATCCTTGAGAATGGTGTGCCTAGGAAGAGTGAGGCTTAGGAGAGTCGTAAGGTGGTTTTAGTTTAGGATGAGGAAGAAAAAATCCCTTTTTAATGAGGATGTAGGTGAGAAACTTGAAAGGAATGGTGTCCTTCGAACAAGAGTATTCTTCCGATAGAGGGTTCAAAATTATTAGAAAACTAATTATTCAGTGACGTCAAGTGATCGAAATTCCAGGGTGGAAGCCGCTTTCGATCAGTAATATTAATGTAGAATTAATATTACAACTTAATCTTGACTGAACCCTTCGGATCACACCCAAGCAACTAAAAAACCAACGCGACGAATTAATTCGGAAGAAATTAACGAGTCGCCCGAGCAATTAACAATTAGATGTCGAAAAGAAACCGAGCGTCAGAAGCTGAGTCAAAAATAATAAAAGACGAGACAAGAAAATTACTAATAAATCAACAAAATTACTAATATACCCCTAGCATCGTAATGCCCGAGTGGTAGGGGCATACGACCTAGCAAGATAGCTAGCAATGTGTGCTAGCGCACCTTGGCTAGCCTAGCCAGCTAGCAACCCGCACCATGTGCGTAGCAGTTGGCCATAGCAGCCCGCACACTTGGTGCATGGCCTGTAGGGCCGAAGGAGCAAAGCAGTGGCTGGCAGCCCACCTTGGTGCCTTGGTGCCCAGTGGTGGGGTGCCATGTGGCGTAAAGTAATTGGCTTGAGGGTGGTGTGTTGGCCTGCTATGGGAGAGGAGTGGGGAGCAAGTTTGGTCCTCCCTTCTCCAAATGGTCCTCACCTAACCTCTCTTGTGAGCTTGCCACTTGTTGATTTATTAGTAGCTTGATTATTAATTTTATTTTTGAGTTAAAATAAAATGGAAAATTCAAATCTCCCACATTGATTGGTGAACTTTTCTCACTCTTGCATTTCCCTATAAATACCCAACTTGGGGTATTGGGAAAAGCACTAGAGTAAGTGTTGAAAAAAGCATCACCATTGTGAAAACCTTTGAACACAATTAATTAATCGAGTTTAGGTAGGGCTTATCTAACTCCTAAGCAATAGACCATTTTCGGTGCTCGGGTTGCAGGTGGACTTCGTTGGAGGTCCTCGTGTGAGCGGGGCTAAGAGATTTCAAAATCTCTTTCTTAATCTTATTGTTTAAGTTAATTATTCTCTATGATTATAATAATTGTAAGTGTGATCTTGGCTCGAGTTTCTTTCCGTGGTGGGTTAGACTCACCAAAACCCAAAAAACCAATTGAAAAAGATAAAGAGAAAGACAGAGAAGTTGTCAAACCAAAGCTTCCATATCCCCAAAAGTTCATATGGCACAAATTAGATGAACAATTTGGCAAATTCATAGAGATGATTACACAACTTCATCTTACCCTTCCATTTACAGATGTCATTAATCAAATGCCAAATTATGCAAAATTCCTTAAGGACATCTTGAGTGGAAAAAGGACTTGTGATGTGGCAAAAACGGTTAGGTTGACCGAGAATTGTAGTGCAATCATTATGAACAAAATACCGCCTAAATTGAAGGACCCCAGAAACTTTTCTATCCCTTGTAGCACTGTCAAAACAGTTTGACAATTCAGGTTCGGTTCGGTTAGAAATTGGTTCAGTCTTATATCGGGTCGGTTTGAAATCGATTAAAGTGTCTCGCGGGTCGGTTTCAGTTCGATTAAATAGTTATCGGTTCGATTCGGTTTCGGTTTATTCTTGAGCGATTTTAATTCGGTTCGGGTTGTAAACAGTCCGGGTAGTAAACGGTTCGGTGCAGACGAGTTCAGTTTGTTCACTGTTCGGTGTAAACGGTTTTTATCCCGGTTCAAACAATTTTGGTTTGGAAACAGTTTGGATTAGACACAGTTCGGTTCTTTTTTGGTTCAGTTTATAACTAGCTCGGTTCTTTTTCGGTTCAGTTTATAATTGGTTCGGTTCTTTTTCAGTTCGGTTTATAACTGGTTTGGTTCTTCTATGGTTTAACGTTATTCGGATCGGTTCCATTTCGAGTTTACTAAATTACGGTTCGGGTCGATTTTCGGTATCAAAAAATCGATTGTTTATCGAGTCGTTTGGATTCGAGCAGTTAAATAGTTTTGTTTGAAATTTGATGGTACTTGCTAATCGTTTGGATTCGGTTTGAAAGCGGTTCGGTTTATAAACGGTTCGGTTTATATACAGTTCGGTGCTAACGGGTCGCGGGTTGTTAACGGTTCAGTGTAAACGATTTTTATCCCGGTTCAAACGGTTTTGGGTTGAAAGCAATTTCGGGTTAGAAGCAGTTCAGTTCTTTTTCGGTTCGGTTTGATTTCAGTTCGGTTTAGAACTAGTTCGGTTCATTAACAGGTTCGGTTCTTATACGGTGTAACGTTATTCGGATCGGTTCGGTTTCAGGTTCATTCACATACGGTTCGAGTCAGTTTTCGGTTTCAAAAAAAACGGTTTTTAATCGGTTTGGTTCTCATCTGGGTTGGTTTATATCGGGTAGTTAAACGGTTTCGGTTTGAAATTTGACAACACTACTTCCCGTGTGCTATCTACAAGATGAACATTTATAATGTCTTGTGTGACCTAGGAACTAGTGTTAGCCTTATGCCAAAGGTATTAATCTCTTTCTTAATCTTGTTGTTTATCAAAGACTTGAGTTAGAGAAACTTTTGCCTACCAACATTACCTTTTAATTAGCTGATAGATCAATTAAATTTCTAAAAGGTAAGGTAGGGGGATGTTCCTTTGAGGGATGAGGATGTCAACATTCCTATCATACTTGGTAGACCTTTTCTTGCTACCTCAGGTGCCATTGTTGATGTTAAAAGTGCTAAGATTTCCCTCAAAGTTGGAGAAGAGGTTATTGAATTTGATTTGAATGAAAGCGTGAAACATCCTCCTTCTTCACTTGCAAATTGCATGAGAGTTGAAATTTTAGATAATATTGTGAATTTCATGCATGAGCACTTTCTCACGTCTAATGATTCACTTGAGTGTGTTTTGTCGAATAAGATAAGATAGGTGAGCATGGCAAATAAATGGCATTCTTTAAGAGAATCATTGATGAAAGCATGGAAGAGGGTGATGATCATATTTGCATGGGAATCTCAAGCCAAGATGCATTGCAAGCGGCCTCAATATAGGAAGGTAAAGGTGTCCCATAGTAGAGCTCAAACCTCTACCATCACACCTTAGGTATAAATTTTTGGGGCCCATCTCTACTTTTCCCTTTATTATTAGCTCTTCCTTGAGTGAGAGTCAAGCTAAAGAGTTATGTGGTGTTTTGAGAAGGCACCAAGGTGCTTTGGGTTATACAATTAATGACCTCAAAGGTATAAGCCCAACCTTATATACACACCAAATCACCTAGCATTGAAAGGCAACGGAAGCTACACCGTCAAATGGGGGAGGTAGTCAAGACGGAAATCACTAAGCTATTGGATGCGGAAATCATTTTCCCCATCTCTAACTCTAGATGGGCTCCCCATTCCACGTTGTCCCAAAGAAAAGAGGCATGACCGTTTTAAAGAATGAGAGAGGTGAGCTCATTCCTACAAGGACGGTCATGGGATGACGAATGTGTATAAACTATCGACATCTAAACACATCCACCAAAAAGGATCATTTTTCCCTTCCCTTCATTGACCAAATGCTTGAAAGACTAGCAAGGTATAAGTATTATTGTTTTCTTGATGGCTATTCTAGGTTTTTCCAAATTCTTATTCACTTAGAAAACAACTTTTACTTTTCCATATAGAACTTTTGCCTTAGGAGAATGTCATTTGGGCTTTGCAACGCCCCCGTCACTTTCTAACGATGTATGATCATATTCAAAGATATGTTGAATGAGGAAATGGAGGTGTTTATGGATGATTATTCAGTAGGTAGTGTTTCATTTGTTGAAGCTTGTCTTGAGAGTCTTGAGAAGTGTTTGGCTCGATGTGAGAAAGTGAATTTGGTTTTAAATTGGGATAAATATCATTTCATGGTTGAGGAAGGCATTATCCTTGGTCACAAGATCTCCCACAAAGGTATAGAGGTGGACAAAGCGAAGATTAAAGTTACTGAAAAGCTTCCACCTCCGGTTAATGTAAAGGGTGTGAGATCTTTCTTAAGGCATGGTGGTTATTATTTATATCCCCTTCATCATCCCACCTCACATCATGCTTAGTGATCCCTACCTAATTGAGACAAATGGGACTATGCTAAGCGAATTGAACACAAGCCCCTCAGGCAGCGTAGCCACAATAATCACGTAATTTTGAACCAGAAGCGTAAATGTTAACCCAGTAGTAGAAAAGCTTTAGATACATTGATGAAGCATGTAAGTCACATAAAAATTATCTATTTACACCAAGTCTCAATGGAATAGCATTGATGAAAAATGGCAATTGTTTAGGGTGCTCAACTAAAACTAAACAAACATAGCATCACTGTTATCTCGAGCTGAAGCTGTTGTAATATCAAACAACCAAAAGATATAGAAGCATCATCAACTCATGCTCAGTATTTTCATCATCACTCCCTACAAAATTAACAAACATATATCTTGGTAAAGCAAATAAGCAGATGTTGGCATAATAAAGTATATCTTATAGCTTTTCAGTAGTAACAAACAAACAAGACAGTAATAATAATACAAACACAGCATGCAAAAGTGTGACTAGGAAATTCTAACACAAATTTACACTTTGTTTGGATAAGAAGAAATGGAAGGAAAAGAAGAGAAGAGAAATGGAGGGGGACAAAATCTCTTGTTTGGGTAAAAGATTGGGGGAAGGAAGGGGAAGGAGAGGGAGGGATCAATTTTCCCTCTCTCTTTAATAACCATAATCTCTCCAAAATTGGAGAGATTTAGAGGGAAAATGGAGCTCACCTCCCCCTCCCTTTCTTTTCCCTTCCCTTCCTCCATTTTCCCTCCCCTTCTTTTCCTTCCTTCTTTGCTATCCAAACAAAGTGTTAGTGATGCTGGGTTAATATCAGCAAAATATACCATGGCGCTCTCTTTTTTTATTCCGGAGTTGATGCTGCTGCAGTATCGGTATCAACCGCACACGATGCCGTTGGAACACCATCAGCCTTGCCATCATCAGGCCCTAAACATATAGAAGCAACATTTCATACAGAATATATTATTAGCCCAAACTGAGGATTGTGGCAATTTTGAAAGCTAAAAAACAGAATATATTGTTGGACATACCATGACATGGTTCATTATCAGTTGATACCAAAGTTGAGGTTGTTGGAGTGTCAGAAACTTTACATATATCACTGATATCATGTTCAGCATTTCCATCATCACACCCTGAAGGACATGAAAAACAGCCAAAATTAAAAAGGTATCTCCATGTTCAGCATCTCTTGTGATGTAATGTACAGAAAGGCTCAAGAGTCAAGACTGATTGAGGTGATAGGGATCCTTCAGTGCCATTTTGCAACTCATTGAAGCGACATTAATCTACACTGTAGATATTAAAAAGCATCCCAAAGGATGTTCATATTCCACATGGCCCTCTCTTCTTCACTTCATGCTTTCCATTACTCAAAAATCAGATAAAAGGTTTTGTACAAGGCTCGAACACCCAACCTCAATTTTCAACACTATTCTTATCCAATAAACTACATTCTTTGTTAATATGATAAAGAAAAATATGTTTTGTTAAAGAGGATTCAATAATAATTTCAAGCATAAAAACTTAACTTATTGTTATGCTAGCATATGTTACAGGGAATTGCTTGACAATACTAGGTTTGTTTGTATGTATGTGTGTGTGTGTGTGTAAAGCTGTGCCCCTTTTAAGCACATTTGCGAGGGTTGTAATTTCAGTGATGCGGCAATAAATTGTTGAACTTACCATGACACCCCTCTTTTGAGTCCAAACTTGAAGCTGCCACAGTTTGAATACCGACAACAGGAGAAGCTGTAGGAGCATCGACATCATGAAGTTTAGCATTGCCACCATCAGATCCTGCAGAAAGGAAACTCAAATTACTCTACTCTTATGGCTATCCATAAAAAATATAAATAAAAAACACCAGTTAAAGCTCCAACTTATCATTACTTTTCCTTCTCATTTTTTATCCCAAAGTAATCTCCCTCGTGCATAACTCTCTTGCTTCTGTTTAAACCTCAATCACTCTGTTTTTTACTGTACGGTAGGACTGATCCTTCAGCGCCTTATTGCAAATCATTGAAGAGTTCCACTTAACATAAATATATGTGGGTGTGCGCGCACCCCTTTTTACACAATGATGTGGTCATTGTAATTTCAAAGGAATATAGAGTAACCCCGTGTTGCCAAAAGCAACGTGAAAATAATATGGATTGCCTTAACTCCTCAAGTACAGAATGTTTCGATGACATGTAGCTAAAATGTTGAACTTACCATGACACTCTTCTTTTGACTCCAAACTTGAAGCTTCCACAGGTTCAAAACAAACATCATGAGAAGCTGAATGAACATTAGCACCACCAACTTCATCATGGCCACCATCTGGTCCTACAAAAAGGGAAAAAAATTACTTTAAAGTACCAACTTTTTACTACATTTATTTCTCATTTATTATCCCAATAATCCCTCTTGTTCAAAACACTCTTATTTCTGTTTATCACTCAATCACTCGATTTCTAACTGTAGATGTCTGATCCTTCAGTACCTTTTTGCGGCAACTCATTCAAAAAGACTCCCATATAATATTTTTATATATATATAAACAAAAAAGAAAACTCATGCATAAACATCTAAACAAAAAAAGTGTGCATATTTAAAAGCTATGATGTTTGTAATTTCAAAGCAATAAAACACCTAGTGTTGCACTATTAACATGAAAGTGATATGGACTGCCTGCAGTATAGAGTGAATTTTCAGTAATAAGTAACCAAGTTGTTGAACTTACCTTCAGACTCTTCTTTTGACTCCAAATTTGAAGCTGCCACAGTTTCAAAACCAATAGCCTGAGAAGCTGGAAAAGCATCAACATCATGAAGTTCAATAGTGCCACCATCAGGTCCTGCAGAAACGGAAGAGAAAATACTCCACTTCTATTACGGCTAACCCAAAAAAAAAAAAAAAAAAAAAAAAAAAAAAAAAAAAAAAAACGAACTTATCATTATTATTCCTTCTCATATCTTAAATTATTCTCTATCATTCGTAACACACTCTTCTGTTTATTCTCTCAATAAATCAATTTTTCACCCTACAGTAAAGTCTTCAATGCCTTGTTGCAATTAATTAAAGAGAATCGCAATAAATTTATGAATAAAATAAGTGTACAAGAAAAGCTATATGCTTTTTAAACACTGCTGCAAAATTTAAGAGCATAAACCAACCAAGGCTTGCCAAAACCAACAAGAAAGAAATATAGACTGACTCAACTACACAAGTGTTCAGTGACGCATAATAAAATTATTGAACTTACCATGACACACTTCTGTCGATCCCAAAATTGAAGCTGCCAAATTTTCAATGTTGGCACGAGAATCTGTAGGAGCATCAACATCATGAAGTTCATCATTGCCACCATCAGGTACTGCCAAAAAACAAATCACACGACTCTCATGAGAACCCCACCTTTAGATGTGAGCCCTTTTGTTATGTGAGAACACTTATTATGTTCTAAATTTTCTCATATATTCTAAATTTAAAATCTGAGTGTTCAAATTTAATACTCAGGTGTTCTAAATTAAATCAGATCCTCTAAATTATTAGTCACATGTTCTACCATAAATTAGTTGTATCAAATGTAATAAATTTTAAATAAATTGTTCCAAAATTTGAACTTATATGTTCTAAGTTTTAAATCATGGGTTCTAAGATTTTTAATCATATGTTCTAGATTTTAAAGCATATGTTCTAATTTTTACTCGTATCTTCTAATTTTTACTCTTATATTCTAAATTTTTACTCACGTGTTTTTTATTCTATATCAGGTGTTAAATTGACTCACATGTTCTAAATTTCATAAATCAAATTTTCTAAATTTTTACTCACATGTTCTAAATTTAGGGTCAAAGGAGAAGTTTCTAAAAATGAGAAGGATTTTTTGTGCATAAATTTTCACTCAATGAGCATAATATTTGAACAAAATGTGTAAACAAAATTTGACCGAAATTCATTGCGCATATTTTTTGTGCACAAGTGCATAAATTTTCGTTTGCCTAGAAAGTTGAAATAAAGTACAGGGTCAAAAGAAAATAATGCACCTTTAGTAGAAAATGAGAAAGATGAGAAGGGATCTTAGCCATTCATATGAAACAATCTAACGGCTGATATTAAAAATAAAATAATATTTTGTTTACTTCATCTTCCTCACCACTATACTGAATATCGTCGGATTATAGAACTTTGAGGGTTGATCTCCATAGCTCCCTCTAATCAAGCTCCACCAATTTTATCCCCAAATTTTCACTACTCAACGTGCACTTTTAATTGACATACTCTTGTTCTTTTCTCTACCAGAATATATCAACATTTTTTAAAATAAATTATGCATGTTCTATGTAAACATTATGCACATTCGACTATGAGAATATGCACATATGATTATTTCATTGCCAGACTAGTACTTGTTTTGTAGGTGTTGAGTTATAATTTGTGCATATTCTATATTGTTGAAATTACCATTACATTCTTCTTTTGACTCCAAACCTAGATGCCTTATTATAAATAAATGAATGAAAAACTAGATGCCTTTTTAAACACTGCAATGATGTTAGAGCAAGATAAACTAACCAAGTGTTGCCAAAAGCAACATGAAAGTGACACACATTGCCTCAAGTGTAGAGTGTATTTTTAGTTCATGTAACTAAATTGTTGAACTTACCGTTACATTCTTCTTTCAACTCCAAACCTGAAGCAGCCACAGATTCAAAACTGTCAGCATGAGAAGCTGTAGGAGCATCAACACCATCAAGTTCAGCATTGCCACCATCAGGGCCTGAAATATAAAATTACTCCAATTCTATTATGCCTAATTAAAGAAATCAAATTTAATGCTAAATTAAAAGCTTATCATTAGTTTTACTTCTCATTTACCATCCTAGTAGTCTCAAGTACAGAATACATATTTAGTGTCGCGTAACTAAATTGTTGAACCTACCATTACATTCTTCTTTTGACTCCAAACCTGATGCAGCCACAGATTCAAAACCGTCAGCATGAGAAGCTGTAGGAGCATCAGCACAATCAAGCTCAGCATTGCGACCATCAGGGCCGAAAAAGAAAATTTTCTCCAATTCTATTATACCTTATAAAATAAATCGAATTTCAAGTTAAATTAAATGCTCATCATTAGTTTTACTTCTCAATTACCATCCTAGTAGTCTCAATTATAGAGTGTATTTTTAGTGCCGTGTAACTAAATTGTTGAACTTACCATTACATTCTTCTTTCGACTCCAAACCTGATGCAGCCACAGATTCAAAACCGTCAGCATGAGAAGCTGTAGGAGCATCAACACTAGCAAGTTCAACATTGCCACCACCGGGGCCTGGAAAAGAAAAATTACTCCAATTCTTATAAAAATAAATCGATTTTGAAGTTAAATTAAATGCTTATCATTAGTTTTACTTCTCATTTACCATCCTAGTAGTCTCAAGTATAGAGTGTATTTTTAGTGCCGTGTAACTAAATTGTTGAACTTACCATTACATTCTTCTTTCGACCCCAAACCTGATGCAGCCACAGATTCAACACCGTCAGCATGAGAAGCTTTAGGAGCATCAACACCAGCAAGTTCAGCATTGCCACCATCGGGGCCTGAAAAAGAAAAATTACTCCAATTCTATTAAGCCTTGTAAAAAAAATCGATTTTCAAGCTAAATTAAAAAATTATCATTATTAGTTTTACTTCTCATTTACCATCCTAGTAGTCTCAAGTACAGAGTGTATTCTTAGTGTAGTGTAACTAAATTTTTGAACTTACCATTATATTCTTCTTTCGACTCCAAACCTGATGCAGCCACATATTCAAAACCGTCAGCATGAGAAGCTGTAGGAGCATCAACACCATCAAGTTCAACATTGCCACCATCGGGGCCTGAAAAAGAAAAATTACTCCAATTCTATTATGCATTGTAAAAAAAATCGATTTTCAAGCTAAATTAAAAGCTTATCATTATTAGTTATACTTCTCATTTACCATCCTAGTAGTCTCAAGTATAGAGTGTATTTTTAGTGTCGTGTAACTAAATTGTTGAACTTACCATTACATTCTTCTTTCGACTCCAAACCTGATGCAGCCACAGATTCAAAACCGTCAGCAGGAGAAGCTGTAGGAGCATCAACACCATCAAGTTCAGCATTGCCACCATCAGGGCCTGAAAAAGAAATATTACTCCAATTCTATTATGCCTTATAAAAAAACTCGATTTTAAAGCTAAATTAAAAGCTTATCATTAGTTTTACTTCTTATTAACTATCCTAGACTCCTAGTAGTCTCTCTTTTTCTTAATATTCTTACTTCCGGTAGAAAATCAAAAATCTCAATACTCAACAATTAAGTCTGATCCTTTACCGGCTTTTAGCAACATACTTAAAAGAGTAGCAATTAATTTTTTGTATGAAAAATAAATAAATCTAAATTATATATATATATATATATATATATATATATATATATATATATATATATATATATATATATATTGTTGCCAAAATCAACATGAAATTGAGATGGGGGCTTCATGAAGTATAGTGTATTTTCAGTGATGTGCAACAAAATTGTTAAACTTACCATGACACTCATCTTTCGAATCCAAATTTGTAGCCATCACAGTTTTACAAACAACTATATGAGACATTGGGGGAGCATCGACATCATGAAGTTCAGGATTGCCACCATCAGGTCCTGCAGAAATGAAAGACAAATTACTCCATTTCTACTATGGCTATCCCAAATACATAAATGAAAAAAAAAAAAAAAACAACAATAATTTAAATAGTTAAAAAATAAAGTCTAGTTGATGTACCAACTTATCATTACATTCCCATCTCAGTTCTTAACTCTCTTCTATCTGTCTAACTCTCAATAACTAATTTTTTACTATACAGATAAGTCTGATACTCCCTTTTTGCAACACAATGAATCCAAAAAAAAAAAGTGTGACAGAAGAGCTGAGCGCCTTTTTAAACAATGTTGTGATTGTAGTAATTTCAAAGCATTATAAACCAACACAGGGTTGCAAAATACAACATGAAAGTGATATGCATTGCCTCAGCTCCTCAAACAGTTACATAACATAATGTCAATTATGCGTAAATATATTATTGAGCTTACCACGACAATCTTCTGTTGACTCCAAACCTGAAACAGCCACAGTTTCATGAATAAAAATCTGAGAAGCTGTAGGAGAATTAACATACTGAAGTTTAGCATTTTCGCCATCAGGTACTGCAAATACGAAACGCAAATTTCTTAACTTCTACTACGGCTTACCAAAATTTAATATTAATTAAAGATAACTTATCATTACTTTCTTATATTTTATCTTAATAATCCCTTTTATTCATAGCTCTCTATTACATTTGTATATACCTCTCAGCCATTCATTTTTCTCTCTAATTTAAGTCAGATCCACAGCGCCTATTTAAAAAAGAAAAACATATCATGACAGAAGTGGGGCCATTTTTTAAGAATGCTGTAGTTGTGTTAACTTCAAAGCATTATAAACCGACAAACACAGGATTGCCAAACAAAACATGAAAGTAATATGCACTGCAAGACTGCAACAACTCATCAATCATAAGAGTTATAGACTGTAATTTCAATGATGCGTAACTATATAGTTGAACTTACCACGAAAATCTTCTGTCGCCTCCAAACTTGAAGCTACCACAGTTTCATGACCTACAACATGAGAAGCCATAGGAACATCAACATCATCAAGTTCAGCATTGCCATCAACAGATCCTGCAATAACTAATGAGTAATTTCCCCACAACTACTACGCCTTTAAGAAAATTTACATTAGTTAAAGAATTTATTTATCATTACTTTCGTATATTTTATCCTAGTATTCTCTTTTACATTTGTACACCTCTTAATCACTCATATTTTACTCTACGCTCAAGTCTGATCCTTCAGCGCCATTTAAAAAAAAAAAAATCGTGACAGAAAAACTGTGTGCCTTTTTAAATAATGTGGTGACTGTTAATTTCAAACCATTCTAAACCAACCGGTACAGGGTTGCCAACAAAACACGAATGTGATATGTACTGCCACAACTCCTCAAACATAAGAGTTATAGACTGTAATTTAGATGACATGTAAATATATTATTGAGTTTACCATGACAATCTTCTGTCGTCTCCAAACTTGAAGCTGCCACAGTTTCATGACTGACAACATGAGAAGCCACAGGAGCATCAACAGCATCAAGTTCAGCATTGCCATCAACAGGTCCTGCAAAAAAACAAATGACACATTTCTCCACTTCTATTACAGTTTCCAAAATTTTACACTAATTTAAGTATTTACTTATTAATATCTTATACCAGTAATCTATTTAATTCATATCTCTATCTTACATGTGTATACCTCAATCACTCATTTTTTAATCAACAGTTAAGTCTGATCCTTCAGTGAATTTTTTTTTTTTTTAAAAGATTGTGACAGAAAAACTGTGCTAATTTTAAACAATGCTGTGATTATGGTAAATTCAAAGCATTATAAAACAACCGACACAGGGAAGCCAAACGAAATATACCTCAAACATAGAGTTATGGACTATAATTTCTATGATGAGCAAATATATTGTTGAACTAACCACAACAATCTTTTGTCGATTCTAAATTTGAAGCTGCCACATTTTCATGACTAACAACATGAGAAGCTGTAGGAGCATCAACATCATCAAGCTCAGTTTTGCCACCATCAGGTCCTGCAGAAGCAAATTACCAATTTGTCCACTTCTATTACAGTTTCAATACATTTTACATTGCTTAAAGTATTTAATTATCATTACATTTGTATATTTTATCCCATTAATCTCTTTTACTCATAGCTCAATCTTACGTGTTTTTATGTGTATACCTCTCAATTACTTATTTTTGACTCTACACTTAAGTCTTGTCCTTCAGCACCTTTAACAAATAAATAAATAAATAAATAAATTGTGACAGAAAAACTGTTCGCTGTTATAAACAATGCTGTGATTGTTGTAATTTCAAAGCATTATAAACCAACTGACACAGGGTTGCCAAAGGCAACATGAAAGTGATATGTACTGCCTCAACTCCTTAACTATAAAGTCATAGACTGTATTTTCAATGATGCATAAATCTATGATTGAACTTACCACGACAATCTTCTGTCGACTTCAAATGTGAAGCTGCAACAGTTTCATGACTGACAACATGAGAAGTTATAGGAACATCAACATAGTCAAGATCAGCCTTACCGCCAGCAGGTTCTGCAAAAACGAATGATAAATGTCTCTACTACTATAAAGGATTTCGAAAATAATATAAAATGTTAAAATATATAGTTATCATTACTTTCTAAAAATTTAACCCAGTAATCTCTTTTATTCAGCGCATTGTCTTCCACCTGTATACCGCTAAATAACTCATTTTTTACTCTACAGTTATGTCTGATCCTTAAGCGTTTACAAAAAAATATAAAAAAAATGTGACGGAAAAACAATGCACCTTTATAAAAAAAAATGCTATGATTGTGGTTATTACAAAGCATTACAAACCAACTAGTTGATGCCAAAAAAACATAACAGTGATATGCACTGCCATAAGCCCATAACTCCTCAAAAAATAGATAGTACATTCAATGATGCATAATTTAAATTGTTGAACTTACTGTGACACTCTTCTGTCACCTCCAAACTTGAAGCTGCTGCAGATTCAAAACCGACAACATGAGAAAGTGTAGAAGCATCAACATTATTTAGTTCACCATGGCCACCATCAGGTCCTGCAAAATAGAAGGAAAAATTACTCCCCTTCACTAATGGCTTTCAAAAAATAATATAATAACATTAATTACCATTAACTTAAAGTTTCAAATTGTCATTACTTTTACATCTCATATTTTATCCCAGTAATTACTTTCATTTCACCCTCTTCTAATTATTTCTTAATTAATCAACATTTTACGACACAGTTGAGTATGTTCCTTAAGTGCCTTTATGCAACTATTCATACAGAGTGAAACTTAACTAAAAAATTAAAAATTAAAGAAAATAAATAAATAAACAGTGAAGAAAAGCTGTGCACTCTTAAAAAAATGCTGTGATGGTTATACAAACAGACAAAGGGTTGCCAAAAGAAACATGAAAGAGATTATTGACTGCCTCAACTCCTCAAATATAGACTGTATATTAGAGATGTGTATCTTAATATTTGAACTTACTACAACAGCCTTCAGCCGACTCCAAACTTGAACCTGCCTTAATTTCAAAACCGACAATATGAGATGTTGTAGGAGCAACAACACCATCAAGTTCAGAATTATCACCATCAGGTCCTGCCTTACTTTCAAAACCGACAATATGAGATGCTGTAGGAGCAACAACACCATCAAGTTCAGAATTATCACCATCAAGTCCTGCAAAAAGAAAAGACAATTACTCCACTTCTTTTATGGCTTTCCTTACCTTCAAGTTAAAAGTAAATGTTATCATCTCTTTTACATCCCATATTTTATCCCAGTAATTTATTTTTTTCACAACCCTCCCGTACTTCTGTTCATTTCTCAATTAATTAATGTTTTAGTTTTAGTATATAGTTAAGTCTGATACTTCTATGACTTTTTGCAACTGGTTGCAAAGAGTGAAACTTGATTTTTTAAGAATAAAATATTAACTATAAAATAAAGCAATAAACAGTGAAACAAAAGCTGTGCACCTTTCAAAACAATACTGCGATAGTTGCAATTTCAGAGTATTATATACCAACCGACAAAGTGTAGCCAAAAGCAAGAAGAAAGTGATAAGCACTGCCTCCACACCTCAACTATAGAGTTATAGACTTTACTTTAAATTACGCCTATATTGATATTGGGGAACTTACCATGACAAATTTCGGTTGTCTCCAAACTTGGAGCTATCACAGTTTCATGACAGACAACATGGGAAGCCGTAGGAGCATCAACATCATTAAGCTCATCATTGACAACATCAGGTCCTGCAAATACGAACAACAAATTTCTCCACTTTTAATACACCTTTCCTAAATTTTATATACTTATCATTACTTTCTTATATATTATTCCTATATTATCTTTCATTCATATAACTCTCTTACATCTGTATACCTCTTATCACTTAATTTTTAAACAATGCTGTAATAGTGGTTATTTCAAAGCATTATAAACAAACAAATTGATGCCAAAAACATGAAAGTGATATGGATTACCTCAACTTCTCAAACTATAGAGAGCATTTTCAATGATGCATATTTAAAATTGTTTAACTTACTATGATACTCATCTGTCGCCTCAAAACTTGAAGCTGCCACTGTTTGTATACCGACATCATGAGAAGTTGTAGGAGCATCGACATCACGAAGTTCAGCATTGCCACCATCAGGTCCTACAATAAAGAAACACAAATTTACTCCACTTCTCTTATGGTATTCCAAAATGTAAAACAAGTAATAATAATTACCTTCAAGTTAAAAGTACACAATTGTCATTAATTTTCCATCCCAAAAATTTATCCCAATGATTTCTTTCTTTCATAACACTCTTTGACTTTTGTTTATTTTTCAATGAGTTATGTATGGTCCAACATCGCCTTTTTGCACTCATTGCAGAGAATGAAACAGCGAAAAAAATATAAACAGTGAATAAAAGCAGTGTGCCTTTTAAAACAATGATGTGATAGTTTAAAATCTTACAATTTACTATGTAACTCTCTTACTTCTGTTTATTTCTCAATTAATCAGTGTTTTACTATATAGTTAAGTCCGGTCTTTCAGAGCCTTTCAGCGATTCATTGAAGAGAGTGAAACTTAACTTTTTAAAATATATATATATTAAAAAATAAACAGTAAACAAATGACATGGGGTTGCCAAAAGCAACATGAAAGTGATATGTACTGCCTAAACTCGTCAAATATAGTCATAGACTGTAATTTCAAAATACGTAACTATATTGTTGAACTTACCACCACAATCTTCTGTCGTCTCCAAACTTGAAGCTACCACAGTATCATGACTCACAACATGAGAATCCGTAGGAGCATCAACATCATCAAGTTCAGCATTGCCGCCATCAGGTACTGCAAAAACGAATGACAAATTTCCCCAGTTCTATTACGACTTTAAGAAATTTACATTAGTTAAAGCATTATTTATCATTATTTTCTTATATTGTATCCTAGTAATCTCTTTTATTCATAGCTCTCTCTTACATTTGTAAACCTCTCAATCACTCATTTTTTACTCTACACTTTAGTTTGATCCTTCACCGGCTTTAAAAAAAATTGTTCAGAAAATAATGTGTGCCTTTATAAACAATGCTGTGACTGTGTTGATATCAAAGCATTCTAAACCAACCTACACAGGGTTGCCAACACAACATAAAAGTGATATGACTGCCACAAGTCCTCAAACATAGAGTTATAGACTGTAATTTAAATAACGTGTAAATATACACATGAACTTACCACGACAATCTTCTGTCGTCTCCAAACACGAAGCTGACACAGTTTCATGACTGACAACATGAGAAGCCATAGGAGCATCAACATCATCAAGTTCAGCATTGTCACCATCAGGTCCTGCAAAAACAAAAGACAAATTTCTCCACTTCTATTACGGCTTCCAAAATTTTACAGTAGTTTAAGCATTTACTTATCATTACTTTCTTATATATTATACCAGTAATCTCTTTTATTTATAGCTCTCTCTCACATGTGTATAGCTCTTAGGCTCTTAATCACTCATTTTTATAGTTTACAGTTAAGTCTCATTCTTCAGTAACTTTTTAAAAAGAAGTATTGCGACAGAACAACTGTACACTTTTTTAAACAATGCTGTGACTGTGGTAATTTTAAAGCATTATAAAACAACCAACACAGGGTAACCAAAGTAATATAAAGGGATATGTATTGCCTCAACACCTCAAACGGAGTTATAGACTATAATTTTAATTATACATATATTGTTGAACTAACCACGATAATCTTCTATCGATTCAAAACTTGAAGCTGCCACATTTTCATGACTGACAACATGAGAAGCCGTAGGAGCATCAACATCATCAAGCTCAGCTTTGCCGCCATCAGGTACTGCAAAAGCGAATGACAAATTTCAAAAGCATCAACATCAGCAAGTTCAGCATTACCTTTTTAAACAATGCTGTGATTGTGGTAAGTCCAAAGCATTATAAGCCAACCAATAGATGCCAAAAACTACAACAAAGTGATATGGACTGCATAATAAAATTGTTGCACTTACTGTGACACTCTTCCGTCGAATCCAAGCTAGCTGCCACCATTTCAAAACTGACAACATGAGAAAGTGTAGGAGCATCAACATTAGCAATTTCAGCATTGCCACCATCAGATCCTGCAAAAAAGAAAGAAAAATTACTTCACTTCTCTTACGGCTTTCTTAGGTATTGTGACATTTCCATTTAGGTAAGTGCTGCAACTTGCAAGTAATAACAAACAGAGGAAGTATATATATGAAGGATAAGTTCCAATAGAGGACTAATTCGAAAACCAGTTTACCCTTATTCCCTCGTTTACACAATTCGAAACCCTCTAAACTTGTGTTTAACAACCTTTCCTAGTTAGTTTTACTTGGGTCCCGAAGAGCAATACCAGCATCATAGCTATGTTAAAATCACAATTCCCTTGCATTTTTAGTAAGATATTAGACAGTATGGTAAAATTAACATATTGATTTGCTGGAACTGCCAGGAGTTGTCATTATTACAGAAAGATCAGCAATTCAGCAATGTCAAACAAAAATTCAAAAAAAAGAAAAAAAAAGAAAACAAACCATGTAACAAAATTAAATTGTGCTTTAGACAAACCATGTAATTCTTCTGTATGTTTAGCCAATTCTAAAGGTGATGTTGCTGTAGCATCAGACTCTGGATCACAGACATTATGTTCAGCATTGTCAACTTCAGGCTCTGTAAAGTGAAAACAAAATTACAGAACTATGATGGATCAAAAATACTTTTCTTAATTATAAACTGATTATTAAGGAAAATTAATACATCTATCCCACTTATAAAGGAATATCTAATATGAATCGTAAATAACATAAGTTGGAACAGAATAGAAAAAACAGTCGAAAATCATGTTCCAGACATACCATGAGATATTTCCACTTTTAACTTTAGGGTAGGAGCTGCAATAGAGTCCTCCACTTTTAATTCTAAACTAGGAGCTTCCACAATATGGGATACTTTAGGAGCATCAGCAGCATCAACTTTGGCATCATCAGGCCCTGCAAAATTAGAATAGAAACAGCTAAATCATGCAAAACTCATAGTAGTACTGGCAGAATAATATTGTCACCATTCCAGGCATGAAAAAAAAAAAAAAAAAAAAAAAAAAACTTTCTTATGAGTTACTTAACGAGTACATGTTTTCAGACATACCATGAGAAAGTTCAGCTTCTTTTGAACATGATTCCAATGTTGACGCAAACGTAATACCAAAACCTACAACAGTGGAAGCAGTCGGAGATTCAACAGTGCTAATTTCAGCATTACCATCATCAAGAGATCCTGTCAAACATAAATGCAAATTAAAGAAGCTGCCATACTACCTATATTTAAGCAAAAAATAAGTCATGGTATACAAAATTAATAGAGATGGAATTATTGAGCACAAAACCAGCATTCCCATCTAAGCAGTGCATCTGATAAAAAATTCTAGTAAGGGCTCCATGAACAAGAAAACAAAAAATAGCAATCACATCGAATAAGTTCATCTGCTGATGCTCCAGAAATTACAGGAAAAAGAAGAGATCCTTAAAAGTATCTGATTCTCTCTTCCAAACTTTTAAACTCAGGATCAGCATCTGACGTACCTTGAGAACATTGGTCAAGTTTTGATTTTGAAGCAGAATCAATCAACTGGTCCGAGGCCAGGCCAGCAACACATTCAAAAGACATTGCAACAGCATTTTCAGATAGGCAACGTTGAGGTATGTCGAACCCAGGAGGAGCTGAAATTTCTTCTTCTGGCTGACCTATTGTTGCTGCATCAGCCAAATTAGAAGTAGATTTACAACCTATAGGCTTTGTAGAAGAGATACTTCCTTTTCTGGAACCTTCAACTCCCAGCAATACTGAAAATTCTTCTTTTGTGGCTGTCAGTGCAGTTGATTCCAGAGCCAAGACAACAGAACTTCTTTCTGCATCAGTAATCTTAGATGCACCACGACCACCTCTTTCTGACACCTTCTTCATTTCAGCATCTGGAACTTCTGATCTTGGGGTGTCAAATCCAGGAGGTGCGGACATTTCCTCATCCAGATTAGGAGCTTGAACACCAGCACTACAGCTGACTTCTGATCTAGAAACATCAACGACTGGCATGAGTACATTTCGAGCAGAACTCTTTTGCAACTCCGAACATTCAACTTTTCCATCTGCATTTTTGTAACTACTCCCAGTAGGATCCACGGCAGGACCAGTTGGTTCTAAAGCCAACACAATTACATTTGTTTTACCCTTACATGATACAGGCGGAATATCTGCTGGAGTGCGACATAATGTAATCTCTTCCAACGGGTTAGCATGCCTTGACCCCCGAATACTGGCTTCATTGGATTTAACAAGGGTAGAATCTGGAACATGAGAAGACAGGTTGGGAGGCTGGACGGCATCTGTACTATTAGTTAAAGCAATAGATTTGCTACATGCATCTGCCTCTTCCTGTGCAATCTTACTACGAGAGTTATTTACTCGCCTACTTCTTGTTGCTATGACTTTGCGGCCACCAGAGCCCCTAGGACTCTTATCAGATTTATTGGATGATAAAGACTGATCACCCGAGTTATCAAGCAACGCTGCACTTTTTTTCTTTCCACGTCGACGTGATGCAGTTCCTCCAGCTTGTGAATTCTGATCTGGTCCTTGGACTTGCAAAGGAACAGATAACTTAGGAGTCTGAAGGGGAATAGCAGAAGTTCCAGGTAGAACAGGACCCGATTGTGAACCAATGCTTGAATGATGCATTGAGCCACTAGTAGAAGTCAAAGGTGCAGAGCCTAGCATGAAACCTGAAACTGGGACAAGAGGAATTACAGGAACTGTTGCAACATCTGATATCATTCCCATGTTACCAGTTCCAGAATATTCTGCAACATATGTGTCAGCAGAGGTGGACAATGCATCTGTGATTTTCACAGGCTCCTTCAAATTTTTATCTTGAACATCAGGTGCAGCTGGGTCAGTTGGCACAATCCTTCCCCGTTTCCTACCCCTTCGTCGGACTGGTTCGATTCCACCGTGAGGCTTCTGACTTTGTTTTCTACCAGGCCTGAGTCCAGTTGAGCTGGTCAGGGCAGTTTGAGAGCTAGGATTAGCAGATTGTGGGTTAATGCTTTGAACCTCAGCCCCTGATTTCAAACAAGGCTGGCTTCCAATTTTTGGTGATGCGATTGGGCCATCAAAACTCTTGGAAATAGAGACAGGATCACATTTGCTGGCAGCAGAAGCTTCCAAAGGAGCCAATGGAACAGAAGACGAATCCAATAAATCTAGCTTAGACTGACCACTTGGTTTTGGAGCTTGTACAGCTGCTGATTCTTGGACAGATACATTTTGGTTATGCGAAACGGCAGTAAGTTTGCTTGTTTCTGAATCAGTAAGAGGAGCAACAGCCAATGATGAAGAATCACATAAAGTCTTCTTATCTGCAACTTCAGATCCTGTTAAATCCTTGACGACAATCCCAGCACAGCCCTTCAAGCATTTGGGATCTGAGCCCTCAGCAAGATGGTTATCTGTGCTAACACTAGAAGTTGTTGCTACATGTGTATCTGAAGCAAGTTTTTCGACAGGTTTAGAATCTTCAACCAGAGAGCCAGTAGGAACAGGGTGTAACACACGAGTAGGTTTCCTCCCCCTCCTCCTAACAATTTCTAGCCCTGAATCCCCTCCAATAGACTTATTGGTTGGCTGCCCCTTTCGACCTTGTCTTTTAGACTGCGATGAAACTAAAGTACCAGCAGGGTTAGACTGAACCCCAGAATCAATAGGTGGCAACGGTGGAACTGCCTCAGAGATGTGAGAAATAGCAACATTCTGATTTTTGTCTGCACTGGTATCTTTAGTGAAACCAGAAGTACCAGGAGTGTCCAGACAACTTGAATTCAACATGATTGAATCTGTTCCTTTTTGTAAATGAATTGCGTGTTGACTAGCTCCGATAGGTGTTGCACTAACTCCCATAGACGGTGAGACATCTGTAGTTGTTCTCCTTGGCCTACCTCTCCCCCGCTTAACAGGTGGTGTGACCTCTTTCTTGATTAGTGGTGAAGATATTAACGCAGGAGGAGGAGATTGCAGGGTCTGCGTAGATAGCTCTACTTTTCCAGGAATTTGACTATTGTCTGATGACTGTGAGACATCCATCTTCTCATCCTTTAGCTTGGGAGTTTCAGGAGAGTCAGCCTGACAAATCTTTTCAAATTCTTCTTCTGTCCACTGCTCTTCATAAGACCGTACCTGAATAATTATAAAGGCAAACTCAGAGTCAATGTATCAAAATGGGAGATTGACAAATATTTCAATTATACAAGCTCATGCATATCATACAAAAGATGAAAATAAATGCCAAAAGCAAAGGAGGGATTGATAACATGTACTATGCACGAGACCAAAGATAATTAGCTCACCTCTCGAGCACGCTTCCCACGCCCATATTGTTGAGTATCAAAACCTCCGAGATACCCACTTTTCCTCTTCATCCCAGAACTAGAAGATGTCCCGTCATTAGGAATATCATGTATCTTCATCGCTTCATAGAATGCCTTAAGATCATCATCTGTTACAAGACGTGAGGGTAGAGGCGGCACTTCAGAACAATCACCCTTCATCTCGAGTAACAGCCTCCTCCATGTAATCTTCAATTTAAAGTGATAGCAAGCCCAACAACAATAACATAAGTACACCATTTTGATTGAGGGTGGAGGGATGGGGGTGTAATGAAGAATACCAAAATAGATAAAAGTTAAGATCTGTGTTCTTTGAGTACATACCATCTCTTCCTCACGCCTTTTTTGATCAACTGATTCAAATACATCGATCTCAGACTCACTGAAATAAAAATACGAAGTTCGGATAAGAGAAAGTGGAAATCAAGCACCAGGAAAGAAGTATGGGACAATAATATACAAAAGCTAGCTCTATCATCATGCCAACAGAACACATACATGCACAGAAAAACTAAAAACCAACAACACACACTTAAACTATGTGAGCACAGTATGTTACATAAAACAAACTTTCACATTTGGATAAACAATTTAAAAGTAGTTCTACTGTCACTTGTCCCAACAAACAAGGCCAGAACCATGACAAAAACAACTGCATCTCATTGTCTTTGAAAGTGCACAACACTTTTGGGTTCATGCATGTTTTTACCAGTATTGCCAGTCAGGGTCCCACAAGCAATAAGCATAAAAGTAAAACATTAAAAATAAAATTAATAAACAAAAAGATTAAAATTCATGAACAGCTCACAAACAATTCTGGACACAAATATGATACCTGCGGGCTAATATGTCATTCAAGGAATCATCATCCAAAACAGGCGAAGCTTCTTCTTTCTTACATTCCCGTAGGAGAGACTCCAAATATTCCCTACGATCTTCAGCACTGGAAGATGGTATAAGTTATAATGTAGCAATAAGCTATAGTAATGTATAAATTACCACAAAATCTAAAAGCAAAGCAAAAAAATTTACTAAATATGTTATACCTTGTATTGTTATCAAAGAAACCAGCAGTAATACTCTGATTAGCCACACCCAATTTGTGCTCAGCTGAAGCTCTCACTTGCTCTTCCACAGTATGGACCTTGAGTATCATGAAATCGTGCAATAAGGGTGACAGATTAACACTCTTATAGCATAAAATTAACACAGAAAAGAAATGAGAATTATAAGCAGTAAAAAAAGATCTACAATGAGCATTGACTTGCATGACCAACAGTGCAAAGCATAATATTGCAGCGAACCCAAAAAACATAACTAAAGACAGGACTTCTTCCACTTTCTGATATTGTTAATTGGATAATGTTCAGTTTACTAATCCTTCTATAATTGCACAAAGAATTAAAAATACAGAGAAAATTAGCCCAAAATCCCTCAAATAATTTTGCATAGTCTATGCTTTTGGGTGGTAGATTTGTGCCCTTGTCCATTAAGTGCCTTTGCTCAACATGGTTTACCGAATTATTCTACAATAGACCAACAAGAAGAGGACGTCTTCATTCAAATGTCCAAGCCAAATTCCCTTAGATATTGATTCATCTCAGCACCTTGAATATAAATGAAACCAAAAATCATGGTCACGTCTCTCCAAATCTAACGTAATTTAGAAATATGTTTCCAATTACAGTTAAATTACCAAGAAAAATAATGCACAGTGCCTTGGCAGCTTTGTGATGAGTCTAATTAGCTCCATCATATGAAGACAATCAGAATGCAATCATGAATACATGAGGAAGTGGAACACAAAAGGAGACTTTGAGCAGATTTCAACCTTCACTTCATTTCTTTGTCATATTAATTAAAAGATTGGTAATAAAGGGTTATCAAATCTAATATTTAAGTTAATTAAATAAATTAATATGCTCGGGTAATGTTTACTGCTAAAGTATCACAACATCTTCAAGGTAAATGCGAGACAAAGAAAAAAGGTAAAACCCTGAGACAAATATGAACTTACTGTTTCCAATCTAAGAACAAGCACATCTTTCTTCTGTCCAATCCTATGGGCTCTAGCTTGTGCTTGCAAATCAACCTTATATCACAATCATTAATAAATAAAGTCAGTTTAAAAGTTCAAACCAACATTATCATCATGAGTGTCCAACCCCACCCCCAACCCACACACACACACACACACACACACAAATAAAAAATAAAAGAAAAAAAAATATCACTCGCACATACAAACCAACAAAAAAACAAAAGAAAGGGCACAGAAAATATGCCTGAGGATTCCAATCTGTGTCAAATATGATGACAGTATCTGCTGCTTGAAGATTCACCCCAACACCACCAGCACGAATACTACAAAACATGAAAAAAAAAATAGATAAAATTAAATACAGTAAAAAGTAAGAGATTTAAAAAAGCTTCAACAATCTACAAATCCTATTCCTCACAAAAAAGATATTGAGCAACAAATAGAAATCATTAGAACCCAAAATCATTACATGGATTCACAAAACACCACGAATTCAGTTAAACCCACTATTTTAGCTAAGTAATAGACTATCATCTTGGAAATAATAAATCTATTTTATATTTCGCCAAAAGCATTTATGACAACATATATCCCCATCTATTACTTCTCAATAAATGAATACGCCAAATATTTTTCTTTAAATTATATGGCTCCTAATTATACCCTTTTTATTTTGAAAAGTTCGTGTATTATACGAAGTACGGAGTACTACCTAAGCTGGGTTTTTTTTATAAATAAATAAAAAATCTGTATATATATATATATATATATATATATATATATATATATATATATATATATATATATATATATATATATATATATATATATATATATATATGTATATATATATTAGAGCAATTAATGACAAATTCATATTGACTAAATTTATTTAACTAGTATATAATATAACAATGAACTAATGAAATAAACTTCCTCTAGTTTTTTAATACTTGCAAGTTGCAACACACCATGGAATACTATTTGAGGAAGTCATTAGAGAAGGTAAATAGATGGTAAACTGACGGATTAAGCTATAAAATCTAAACCATAACAACTTAACACTTTCTTTATGTTGGTGGTACAATTATTTTAATCACTTTTCCTGTTTACCAAGTCTTATCTTCCTTAAAGTGAATGACAAAATAGTGTGATGCAAGTAAAAAAAGACAGTGGAAGTTCTTTAAGCAAGCAAATTGCAAACATTTGTGACATCCCAAACGCGAATAAGAATTATACTAACGGATTGAATGGGTGAAATGGTTTAAACAAAGATTCAGATACCATTTGTACCTTCTAAAATCCAGCTAACTTAAACAAAAACAAGTCTACACTAACCTGAGCAGGAATATAAAATAAGGAGATTCTGGTCGGTTAAATTGTTCAATAAGAGCACCTCGGTCTAGGCCAGATGTTTGCCCATCTAATCTAAGGTAACGATATTGTTTCCATACAAGATATTCCTCCATAACATCAAGTAACCTAGTCATTGTGGAGAAGAAAAGAACCTGCAAAATAAAACGAGAATTTACCCAATATCACTAACTGAAACAATAATCCTTGCAAATGAAGTAGCACAAAAAAACAAAAGCTCTGATTGTATTGCCCAGACAAATTAAGAGCATCATAAACATGCAAAAAGTGTTTGGGACTTTGGGTAGATTGACTCTCATATGAATCAAGTGAAAACCACACCTAAAAATAATTAAATGTTTCTGATTCCTTGTAAAGTTATAAGCATAACGTCTTTGTAGGACATTAATGACCCACACCAGACATATATCCAAACTTACAGATAACATAACTTCTTTACTTTTTTTTTTTTTTTTTTTTTTTTTACAATCACTTTCTTAAATTTGAGCACAAGAGTCCGCAGATTAAATTTAACAACGGTCACCACTGAAACAAGCTAATTGATGACTTCATCTAGCTTGAAAGTTGAAACTTCAATAATATTAATGTATAAATGTGAAATTTAACTGTTTTCTACTATTGCTGAGTTTAGGCTTTGACTGTTCATACCACGGTCAAAAAATCGGTGAATTTAAGGAATTTATTAGTTACAAATTACAATTGATTTATTTAATTATTTTGGATCATGCCGCCGTAACCTTTACTGAATTGCCATATACTAGTTTTTTGGTAGAAAAATTTACATATTAAAACCTTTTTTATAACACATTCACATTGCTACACTAAAACGGTGACTTTTCAAAAGTAGGCAATTGTTATTGCTCTGATTGACTCTGTGACCTTCATGACCAAATACCAGTTAACTTTTTGTTATGTTATTAAATTTTTTTTATAAGAATTAGCCTTTATATATATGCACATCTAACACATAGCCACCACCCACCAGCAACCTCCTCTGCGACCTCCAACCAACTAATCAGCCATCATCACAACTGCACCCTTTCCCTTCTTCATTAACTTCTCTACAACTGCCCACCCCTTCTTAGACCACCCTTCATGATCATCAGCCCTCTGCTCCCTTAGTAGCCCCTTTCTGTAGCTTTTAAATACTCAATTAGTTTATCTTGGTTGTTGCCAACTACTTCCTCTTTTCTATTTAGTTGACGCGTTCAATTTAGGCACACAAATAAATGAGAGGAGAGAGAATGATAAAGCAAGTGGGGTAGACTTCTAAATGCGAAGTATAAAACTTACCCAAAAAGGAAACGTGTCAACTAAAAATAACCTTTTTAAAAAGGAATACGTGTCAACTACAAAAAAAAAATAGAGGTAGTATATAATATTTCCATATCAGACATCTTTAAAGCCTTCAAAGGTAATTTTGGGATTACTCTCCCAGGTGAATAGATACATTTCTTTCAATAAATACAAGTGTTGGTGGTCTTCAATCATATCTTTGATTTCATAAGTCGATTTAAACTACTTGGACATATTATAATTTACAGGACCTAATTTATTCCATGAATAAAGGAACCATCAAAATCTTCAATACTACTCCCCTGTTGGATATGTATCCTGCCCACATCATCAGTAGACTGCATTAAATCATATGTAGACTCCCTGAAAGAAGGGGCAAATGGGAAAGAGAACCAAAGAAAGGAGGTAGTTAGGCCAGCAATCAAGGGAGCAGGGCTACAGGTAAAGGGCAGCAATGGTTAAAGTAGGTGGGGATTATGGACAGCAGTGGTTGAGGTTGGTGAGGGTTATGGGCAGCAGTGGTTGAGGTTTTTAGGCAGCAGTTGTTGAGGTTTTTGGGGGCTGGGGCTATGGGATTACAAAGGAGTGATGCTGTGGCAGCACAGGCCGTGTGTTTTGTTGTTTCAGTTAGGAATGAGTTATATTTATTTATTTATTTTAAACAACAAAAAGTTAGCAAGGTTTTTTTTTTATTTTTTTGGCTGTAAGATTACATAAACCTTTGTATAACAATGATATTGGGTGAAATCAATTTTTGAAATTCACGTTTTTTCATATTTTTGGCCACCACATAGAATGTATAAAAGGAGGGTCACCATCTACATTTGAAAGACATTAATCTAATAATAAAGTAAAAGACTTAAACAACAAGAGTAAGTGCATCAATACCCGATGATTAGTTGCTTTGAGTTTAGGAAGCAAACGATCGAGCATTTCAAGCTTGCCACACAGCCTTACAATTGGTGGCAGAAAGTGTTTAGGTATATAACTATCCACCTACATTAAGAAGAAATTTTAATTAAAAAAAATGTCTGCATATAGACAAATAAAATTATGCACCGATCCTCCAACCCGCACCCTTAACCATAAACTAACAACTCCGATTAATAGAAAGAAACATGCCTCTTCTGCATGAAGCTGACTAAGATATGGATGATTGCAGATATTCCTGAGCTCCATGACAGAGTTGTGAACTGCTCGAGCCTGATAATAAGTTATCAACATAAGCAAATAACTAATTTAGAATATAGACCAATACGTGCGAGCATGAAACTGGTTTTCTGAATTTTATCAAGTGTTGAAAATTGAGATAGGTCTAAAAAAAGAACCAGTTTTTTATCTCAATCTCATTGTTTCTTCAAAAAAAATGAAACAGAAAACTTAATGAAAATAATGAAACCTTTGACATCCCAAGTGCACCGAGATTCTCTTCCACCCTCTTCATCAGGAGTTTTTGGTATGCAGAAGCCTCACACCTGACAAGTCTCTCAATTTTCTCAGGCAATTCATTCTCCACCTGCAAAAAACATAATCACTAAACTTTAGCTACTCTTTTTTCTATCATGTATCTCCTATTCAGAAATAGCTACACTGATACAGTGATCTGAAAGTATAATTGAGCCAGTAGTCAACTAATATAAAGAAGAATTAAAGGCTTTTTAGAGAGAGGAGTTTTGATGAAATGTTGTATATCACTAGGAAAAGTTAACCAAGTATTCATGGCCACTGCCAAAACCAGGTTTACGAAAACAGCATATTATTAAAAGCCACATTTTCCCCCTTCCTTAAGCAAACACTAACAGGATGATTTCTTCTTTTCAGCTGCTCCAGATCCCCGTATACTTATCATAAATTCTCTCGTCTCTTAGCAACACCTGATGGTACCGTAAATGTAATAAAAATACAAGGAAGTATTGAAAAAGTTTCAAAGTTTAATATGTATTTCCTCTGCTTTGTAATACTTGCCACACCTCCATTTTCATGGTTGCCAATGCAGATTATCAATCATTTATATTTTTTAAATTAACACGTCATGTTTTGAAAATATACTTTGAGGCGTATCTTCAAGATCTATATAACTATATACATCTTATATTTAAATCGGCAAATATAGTCAAATTGTATGAATAGTTGCAAGTATTAAGAAACAAAGAAATATCATACAACGTCACATATAAAAATAATCCTGAAACCCAAAACTAGCTTCTTAAACCCCTCAATGACCAAATTAAAACCCGCTCCGTTCAAGTACCAAAAACTTGAGGGAGTAGGAGGGTGTGGGTGTGTGTGCGGGTGTGTTTGGGGGGGGGGGTAATCATGGATGACACATCCTGGCTAAGAAGCTACTAAATCAAAAAATATATCGATATGCATAGCATGTTGTCCATCAAAAACAGTCCCACATTGCACAAAGATTGCATAGATCTGATACCCAAACCCAACAACAAGTTGGGGACCTATGACATATTGTATACAAATAAGTAGATAGCTATCGTTTAAATCAAGGTTCTTAAGACACCTAGGCATTAAAATCATGACCAATGATTGATGACATCTTACAATATAAATGAACAATTAAAATCATAGGTTGAATGTCAAAGATAGCTATTGACCTTAGTTCCTAAAACAATTTCAGGCTCGTTTGCAAGGCAAATGCACATGGCTCACATGTGCATGGTTTCACGTGTTTTTTCTTCATTAGGGTCTGCTGGGATATCAAGCTCCTTTAGTTGGATTTGGTGTAGGATGAAATGAAGCTTGGGTGCCAAGGCAATATGAATTAAGGTAATCACTAAATGCATAGTCTTTACTTCCCTCCAAAGGGAAGGGTTTCGCATGTGAAAATGTGTTTGTAATCTGATTTCTTTTTTCGATTCTTATTTGACTTGAGTTTCAATGAAAAGAACCACTAATTTAAATATGGTGCTTTGCTGTGTTTTTTGTACTCCCTCCGTTTCGTAATAACTGCAACACTTTCCTTTTTCATCCATTTCGTAATAATTGCAGCCCTTCCATTTCTGGTAAGGACCCACTACTATTTTATTTTATTTCTCTCCTACTAGCCCCACTTATACTATTTTTTGTCACTTCTCAATAATTTGCCTAAAACTTTGTGCCCTCCCTACTGTTGCGATTATTATAAATCAGAGGGAGTAATATAGACTAAACAAGGGAGGAAGGTGCTACTGGATTTAGAATTAGCCGGGAGAAGAAGGCAGAGTGCAAGTTGAGAGAGGAAAAAGAATTTTGAAATGCTATTTTAAGCTATCATCAATCAAATCATACCTTACTAGTTTTGTTCGAAATAGATTACAATTTTCCTCATTAATACCTCATCCATCTTCTTAATTCCCTAAAATCTACTGTATAAGTGAGAGAACAGCAAGCACAGTTACTTATACACAGCTTAAAACTTTCAATTTGTTAGATTTGTGAGTTTGTGGTTAAATTTGTCTTCACGCAAAAGCTAATCGGAGTTTTAGGATTGTTCTTGGTGCCCTAGCCTTATAGATCAGATATAAAATTATACTCGGCGCCATTATAATAGTATCATATGTCTAATTATATAAGCATTCATGTCCAAGATAGTAATTTCAATCGGAGTCGCCATTATACCAACAAAGACTAATATATGTGATTAAAAGATGGGAAAAAAAGTAACAGATATCATCAGAGGAACCTTGTGTTTCAGCCTACGAAGTACAAATGGACGAAGAACTTGGTGAAGACGATTAATGATTAAGAGATTCTCCTCCTCGGATAGCAAGGCCTGGTGATGAAAATCAAAACTTCAGGTAAATAAGTGAAAAAACTCTGAAAGATAAACCAGTGAGAAGGTGCCAAAATTAAAGTCACCTCGTCAGGGGAATTGTCACCATTACTCTCAAATGGCTTGTTAAACCACTGAGAAAAGTCCTCAGAAGAGTTAAAAATGTTTGGCAATAGAAAATTGAGCAAAGCCCAAAGCTCCTCAAGATTATTCTGCAAAGGTCAACATATTATTTGACATTAAAGAAATGGATGATAACCAAATCAATGGGATTACATAACTTGAAAGAGTGTAAACAAGCCAATAAAAGAGTGCAATAAGAAAATAATGTATTAAAAAAATAAAATAAAAAAAGATTAATCAATAACCTGTAAAGGGGTTCCAGTTAATAGTAATCTGTGAGAACTATGATAAAGCTTCAAATCAGCATTTAGCTTACATGATGCATTCTTTATCCGATGTCCTTCATCAATTATAATGTAATGCCAAAAAATTTTACTCAGCTTTGGCCTGTCATGCTTGTTCATAAGATATTCATATGTTGTCAGAAGGACATTGAATTTCTGGTGGATGATGCTCTCCCTACAGCAGAAAATTAACAGCTGCAATTATTCGTGAGGGTATTATGTATGAAATAGATACTTTATAATACAAAAGTTCATTACTTGAATAGTCTACGCCGCTCTTCTGGAGGCCCTGCATAAACAATTTTGTTTATACCAGGCGCCCATAAATTCATTTCCTGTTCCCATCCAGGAAGAACTGATGACGGAACAACCACTAGAAAAGGTCCTCTGTCATTTTTTGCCTCCATCAAATAACAAATTAAAGAGATCACCTGCAGTACGAATATACTAGATCATCCACAATTCAAGATCTGTAACTGCAAACCATCACAAGCTCTATATTCTTTCTTGGAATCATGTGAACCCAAACCCAATTAAGTCATACCTGAACAGTTTTCCCTAGACCCATTTCATCAGCAAGAATTCCATTTAAATGATTATTGTACAGTGAGACAAGCCATCGCAAACCATTCATTTGGTACCTAAAAAAAAATTAAAAATAAATAAATAAATAACAAATTACATGACAATGCAAGTCACAGTTCACTGATCCTCAGAAGAAAGGAGTAGCCACAAGACTATTCTAAAGAAAGAACTAGAATAGCAAAGTTTCTGTTCTAACTTACTCTCTTAATTTTCCACCACGAAGTCCAGCTGGTTGCTCAGCAATGCTCTCCTTGATGCTGCAAAAATAAATTGCAATATGCAGCTAGAGGGTGAGCGTTAGGTTAAATAAATTATAAATAATAATAAGTACGAGTAGCAACTGATTGCATCATCATACACTAATTATTGACATCGTCGTTTACAGTGTTCACTCAAATGCTCCTAATTTAGTAATTTATACACAAGACCAAAAATTAAAAAATAAATAAATAAATAAATAATCACATACTCCCGTGGAAATAAAATAATCAGCAAGATCAGCATTCTTGTACCCATCAAATTATTTCTCATTAAATAAAGCTTTTACACTACTATATGAGCCCGATTTTAGCAGATTAAACAAACAAATTTAACAGCTTCAACCCACAACAGTCAAAATATGATTTACGCTTATTTAGAGTGAAAGACATGAATCTAACCTGTGAGCGATCAAATAGTACTTCTCATTGCTTTCCTTGTAATGCTGGAGAAAAAAAAATAAAAAATAAAAAATTGAGAGAGTATTCCCCGAAAATGGAAGAAAATCGAAAACCCTTTTCTATTACTTGCCTTTGCCTGATCACTCTCATCCTCAATATCAGCAAAAATGTCGCTGGTCTCATCAATAGTTGCAATCCTGTTTTCATCCATCTCGACTTGTCGAGCAGCAGCCTTTGCCTCCTTAAGCTTTGATCCAAGCTTAAGAAGATATTTCTCTGTCTCTTTGAGAAGTTGCTTGACTCTATCAGATTTTGCATCCTAACAATTTTCAAATCAAATGTAAAACTCAGAACTTAAGACCAGAAAATGCAACAATTAAGTTGATTTGATTTTCATACCTGAACCATCCGCAAATATCCTTCCACATCATTGATTTTCAGTAAATTAATTTTTTCACGCTGAATTCTGTCAATCTTTTCCCGGTGTACCCGCTCCTTCTTTTTGTGAAACTCCTTTGCATATCGATTAAAACCTTTGCAGCGTTCCCTCTTATATTTAAATACATCCTCCAGTCTCTCCCTGAGTGAAGTCGAAGCCACACATGAAAAACAGTGAAAAGAAACCGAAACAGCAAGATTTAAACAAGATACCCCCTCGGTCCCCAAACAAAAGTCTCATTGCCTTTTGCACACATTTTTTAAAAGGTGAATAAGGAAATAAGATAGTGGGATTTGGTTTTTAAAATGAATAAAAAACATAAGATTAAAAGATTTGGTTAAGTAAAAGTGAATATAGAAATAGATAAAGATCAAATGGGACTTTAATTTAGTGACAATGTTTTTGGGTAAAATGGGACTTATATTTGGGCACGGAGAGAATAATTAACATATATAGAACAACAGGATCAAATATGAAACATCTTGTTGAAAAATAGCATCAGACACACTTGTGAACTTCTACTTCACTAAAGAATTCTTTCTGTCTCTCGCGGATCCTCTTTTGACGTTCTTCCTTCATCTTCTGCTCATATTTTTCTACATGCTTCAACCTCCTACCAATTCGGTGTTTCTTGATTGATTTCAAACGGTCCATTTCAGTTCGTATGGGCTTAAAGAAATCACTCAAGATATTCCTGTAGAAGTGACACATAAAAATTTCAGATAAATAGAGAAAGAATATTTTAGCAAACGACAGATAAAATTATATCTATATCACCTTCGAAGGCAACGCTGAAGCTCCAATAATTGAAGCTTTTTCAACTCTATCACACTCCTTGTTTTTGCAGATATATCTGCGGATGAGCTAACAGTTTCCTATAGATCACACAGACAAGAAAATTAGAAGAGCAACCATGAAATCAGCATCCTTTTATTTATGTGTACAAAAACGACACTTAAGGGTTTATGGCTGGAACATACCAAGACACTTATGAAATACATAATTAAAGAAAAAGGTTTACGACTTTACAGTCATAATAAGGTTTCTCATTTTAAAGCTTTCAGAAGAAACCAAATCTTATTCTTCTAAAAAACCTTATTTTTCCAAGAGTAGCCAAGGAAAATAAGTGGGTATACGGTATACCACCAACTCCTTGCGCTTAAGTTCCTTTAAAAATTCTAAAATTATTTCTTCGGTTATTTCTACTACATATTTGAGCTTCTATTTCACCTAGGTTGATGTGTTTACTAGTAAAAGCAATAATTATCCTACCCAAGTTAACACAATCTTGTTAAGACACTCCCTCTGATCACGACCATGTCCTTGATGCTTCTCCTAGAGTCACCACCTTTTGTTCATCCTTTATACATGTTGAATAACATTTCTAAATACCAAGATCATTGATAAATTTTCTTCGGTTTAACCGTGATCACGGAAGTCCCAAAAGGCTCTAATAACATTCTAATGTGTTTAAATTGGGAGCTATCTTAGTTGCCTGCACTCGATCAATGAATTCTAAGGGTTTACGAGAAAATTTTATCAAATAATGGACTTCAGATAGCTCATTTGACCAACACTAATATCTTGAAATTAAGACAAAAGATTAGTAAAATGGCCCCCACTCAACATACTAAGCCACTCTCCACACTTGTCTTTTTTCCATCTTCGCAACTTTACCCTAACGTCTTCATTCACCTTTACCTTGGTCTATGTGCAAAATAAAGTTACATTAACACATGGAGTACATAATTAATACCCAAGATAAAATCAACTAGAGGTGTAAAAAATATGTGACCCTTGATTAGCATTACTATCAGCAAAACAGATTAATTACAGCTAAATTTCATTAGTTTTTAAGCATTTAATATACAGCTACTTTCCATAAAATTCAGTTTTATAACATCCATAAACAGCTAAGTTCCATTTACACTGAAAAGGATATAGAAATTCTGTCAAAAAAATAAAAAAAGAAAAGGATATAGAAATTAAACAGTGAGCAAACCCCCCCCCCCCCAATGTAAGTCATATACCATTAAAAAAAATCGACAGGATAGGATATACCTTAAGCTCACTAAAACATGAGGCAATTCTCTGGTCAGCGTTTTGCAATTTTTGCACCCACTTTTGTTCTGAAGCAAGTTTCTTTTTCTGGTGAGCCATAATCCATTTCTCAGACAATGTGTATCTTGGAGAAGGGCGCAAGCTAGCAGACACTGAATTTTCTTCCTCTTCAGGTTCTATAAGCTTATCCATAGTAGCAAGAGAGCTAGAATCCTTATGCATGTAGCATGAATCAGCCACCGGAACAACTATTGACCCATCTGAGATAGACTTTGTTTGATACTCTACAGCACCATTACCATCTGCACATTAATTAACTAAATGAAGAGTAACAAGATTAAGGGCATGCGATTACATCAGAATAGTTTGACTACAGAGTCTATGCGTATGATAAGGAGGGGCAGTCCTCACAGGTAATGAAGGATTAAAGTCAATGTAGATCATTTTTCTGAGCATAACTAAGCTTACTTCTTTAAGAAGAAAACTGCAAATGAAGAGGAGCAATTGAAAGGTGAGGTGAAGGGATATACATGAAAATCTGCGTTTTTCTCTTACATGCTTGTTAAATTAATACCTCTGAGACTTTTCTTTATTTTTAAGTTTATGTTGTATATATGGCCCATTCAGCTTCTTTAAAATTACTTTTCCTGCTATTACTTAGCAAATTAATGCAACATAAGGTACACCACTATCCCATTAAATTAAATAATGCTCCCTCTTCTCCTTAGGCAGTATGATATTTGCTTTTCTTTTAAAAAATCATGAAACAAACCACAACATAAATTTATATCAACTAATTCCATTTTACAGTTTGCAATAGACCCCATACTGTCAAGTTTTCATCTATAACATAAACATAGCCTTTTCACCCAAGCATCTCCAGCCAAGAGTTTTACTCACCATGCAAGGCATTACTGAGCAACATGTTAGCATCATTTACTGATCTTGCCCTGTGATTTCCATTGTCCATGCCTTGAATTGACTTCCAAGATGAGGACAATTGGCTATCGAGCAGCTGTTGGTTCTGACTATGGCTGTCACGTTGAGACAAAATTGAAGAAATCTCATTATTGACCCCAATGTCATGTTGAACAGTGGAATGCAATGGCCCTCGTGAGAGGTCAGTATGACCAACTCTAGCCCACCGAATCATTTCAGGATTTAGCTGCTTGTTCACACCAACAACAGAAGCCACATGATTTGCCCCCCCTGGCTGCAAAATTTCTTCATGTACATGGGTGGCTGGACTTCTCATCCCTAAAGTATCATGCTGAATTGAAGTTGTAACAAGTGCAGAAGAGTTGGCTGTTTCCTGACTCTCTGTATCATCCTCCATAATTCTACTTCCAGGAGGATGGTGTTTCATATCTTCATCATTATGTGAAAGGTCAGCAAATGCAGGTTTTCCCGCCTCATGTTTTATATTCTCAGATTCTTTTGAAAAAGGATCAACCTCTCTAACAAATGCACCCACAGCAGAAGCAGTAGGAGCACCATCACTCTTCATGCCAGCCATGTTTCCTAATGGCAAAGGGACTTCAGATATACTGCTCGACTCAAGAGTTGTTTGTTGCTTGCCCTTATCTTTCGCTAGCTCCATTTGAGCTCCATCTACACTACTGCTGGATCCTAGCAGCATCAAACAGAGTATTTGAATTATATAGACACATACAGGTTTTTTTCTTTTAGTTCAAAAGGTATAGCTGATGATACAGGTTGTGAGCATCATACCTTCTTTAGGTAAGATGTTTCCAAGTGCAATCTCAAGATGGAGTCTTTTTGGGGCCAACCCATTTCTATGCAAATGAAAATTCGTCAAGATAAAAATACAGATTCTCTAATATAGTTTGTCAAGATAAAATTTGTCAACAATATACTACACACCTGAATGCTAAGAAGACCAAACATTGGGCTCTTAGCTGCTTCAAATGGTGTTCTTTAAAAGGCATGCTTGGTACAGAAGCAGTACTTGCTGGATACTTTTCTGTATCTCTTGAACCTGAACTTCCAGGTATCCCCCCTCCACAGTGATTGCTGGGATTAATAGCCTGGCAGAAAGATACGATCAAACAATGTCAGATCAGTAAATTAAAAGGTCAGCAACGAAAAATAAAGGTACACTTAAAGGATCTTTCTCAGGAGCAAGCAAGGCCCCAACCAGAATATTTTTTTAAGTTATCGGTTACAAAACCTATACATTTAAATGTATAAAAGCTTGTGGCATAGGGATCGAGTATGCTTATTTGAACAAAAAGTTAAAAGGTTTGCGTCCACAACAATAGAAGACGACATGACAAACTAAAAGTAAAATAGATTGACATCTAAAATGGTCAAAATAGTTATACAAAGAACTACCAAGGAAGATACAAGACTGGCAACCACTTTATTTTCAATTTTGCCTTAGCAGAAAAAATCTAAATCACCGACTTCAAATCATCATAAACAGTACAGGTTGAGCAGGTGTGCAATAATTAAGCATTCTAAAGCAAAACGATAAGAGTAACTCTAAATGCTTTCAACTTTTCCCATCAACAATTTTCACTTACAATGTAAGGGTGCATTCTATTCACCTAATCTACACTTATTTAAACCTATCTAAACTTAACTATAGTAATCTAAACTTATCTGAGCTAAGCTAAGTTATTAGAGCTTATCTTAGCTGTAGATTGAATTTAGGTAACCTTAGTAACCCTCATCTGAAGTTTTTCTTTCTTGAACATATAGAAAGTTATTAATTACAGCCAGTATCTGAACTTCTTATTCATGAAATAAGAGGACTTAAGGGGAACACGATAGGGCCTAATACCTAATAACTTGACAGAGAGTCAGCTCATAGAACTACAACATTTACCAACATTGTATGGTAGACGATTACAAGAAATCTTTATGCTACATGGATAGTTTGAGAGTAGATGATAACCTATTTCTGGATAACTGTGAAGTCCTATACCTGACTTCATGGCAACCAAGAAGCAAATCATGTATAACATTTCTTTTTCATTAGATGTTGGAATCATGTGTTCATATTAAATGCATTTAAATTACATGAAAACTAGAATTTTCTCTTTCAATTTTTTGCTTTATTCTTTTCACCATAAAAAAATAATGTTTTGCTAAAATCAATTTCAACCAATACAAAAAAATTTCTTGCACTAATAATCTGTTTTAGGTCGTTCGTTTTTTTCTACTCATTTTGATTTATTCTATTTTAGACCAACTCTTTTTACCATCTTACCCTACAGCAACATAATAATTACACCTTTCCACACTTTCTCACTTATTACTTTATTCACTTTTTTCTTACACAAACCAACCTTTTTACAACCTCTCTTACTTTATCTTACACCCAGTCACATTCTACAATGTTTCCTTAATTTGCATAGCTACAGTAAACAAGTAGAACATTAAAAAAAACCGACGGAGTACTTAAATGTAGTTACAAATATAAACAATCAAAGTTGTATGTTGGCAAACGTGCAAATCAAATCAGAACAGCTTTAAAAAAGCCAAGAACAAAATTATATAAAATGACAAAACATATTATATAATTATACAATAGGTATTTTATAATTTTTTTGTATCATAAATGAATCTAATGGTTTGAAAATTGACAGTTAATGAATTATATCATAACAGTAATACTAGACTTTGTTCACACAAAATACTAGAATTTCATTTTATAACCAAACACTAATATTATAAGGTGGCATAATTTTCCTAGATGCCTTTTAAGTGGCATTAACACATCATTAATTAACGATGCCAAATGTCATTGTTTTGTGATCTAAAGCACCGATTCAAAGATGCCATGTTACCTTATATAACTAAATTGTTATTGGCACAAAAATAATAGTAGAAAATTTAAATTTTAAAAAAGAACTTAATATGAGTCCATGCATAAAATTCTCCATGGATGGATTTAGCAGATTGAATCAGTAGTTCATTTACTGTAGTACTTCCTCCAATCATATTTATTCATTCTGTTTCCTAGTCAGGAAAATGTGCCAAAATTTATCACAGTTTTCTTTTCTCACAAGATTTTTTAAATAATGATTAAATTTCACGATGCATGATTCATATTTGTAATCATTATTCTCTCTTGCCAATCGCCATATTACCTACCTTGTACCTCTTTTTTCTTTATCATTTTGTTGCTTTGAAAAGTGGAACTATTCCACGAATAAATTAGAATCTCTATTATTTTAATTGTTTCTCTCACAATAAGATTCGTTTTCCTGAATTTACTCCCATATTCCAAATGAGGAAAGCAAATAGAATGTTAGGATAGAATGGAATATAATTTTGTATATGTTACATGTTAGGGAGATGATCATGAGTGAAAATTGTCTAGGTATGGTGGTAAAGGAAGTGTTGGAAATGTTCCCTTTTGCATTGTTATATAAATGTATGAAAAATATATGACATATGAAATGTTGTAGAGATTGTGACCAAACAAAAAGTTTGGTACGAGTGAATAGTTATTAGAAAGCAATAAAGAATTGATTAAAAAAAATCAAGATATAAGAATCAAAAGAGAAACCAGAATAGGTAATATAACAAGTGTTATATGAAGGTAATGATTAGTTACTCATGAAATGGTGGAGTTATCAGTGTATAAAAATTAAAATTCATTACCGAGAGTAATTGATGTTATTTTTTTCTTTATACTAATTTTAGTGTCATTTGAGGGTATAACTTCCTTTCAATAGTAAGTATATTTTTAAGTTGGACTAATTTTTTACAGAAACTTAATATCGATAAAGCATAGGGGTTAAATTTCACACACAGAAAAGTTGAGGATGAAAATGTAGAATGAAATTTCACAAATATCGGTTGTCGGGATGAAATTAAATCAATGAGTTTGAAGGTCCTAGGAAGAAATTTAATCTTTTAAGAAAAATTTTATGACTTCTTAAAAGGAATATCTACTTCATTTCTCTACTAATAAGAAGGAAAAGATAAGCTCCTAACGAACATTTCTACAAGGAAAGCAATAATGAAGAAACTCCCAAGAGACAATGTACTCTCAAGGAATTTTAATTTTGAAAGCAGATTATAGGTTTGTAGCCAATACCAAGTGGAGGAAATGTATGTTGATTGTCTCTTAGAGTCTTACTTTAAGTCCACAATTTCAATCTCTTTGGCACTTGTTCATAGTTTTGTCTAGTATAAGTTCACTTCATCCCCTTTCTGCCAAAGATGTTTATGTTACATAGCAAATAAGGAAGATAAGGTACTTTTCTTTAGTATGGAGGATGGTTTTGTTCACACTTTGAAAGAAGGAAACCAGCAGATTTTTTAAAGGAAACTTACTCATGTCAAGATCCTTAATAAAAATTGACTTTTTTAAGTTCATAAATATATAGTCACTTGATAGCTAGAACCCACAAAAATATTGGCTAAATGGTTAGCAACCCCTTTTGTGTCATATTTATACTTCTGCATAATTTATCCTCAACAGTAAAGTTTACTTTCACCATATATATATCTACTAATTTATAAAAGCAAAAGGTTATAACGTAAATTTACTTCCTTCGTTCCCGTAATATTGCAACAAGGGGGTGAAGACAAGAAATGTAGGATGTTGCGTGATATAGAGAGAGAAAAAGATAGAAACCCATGTGGTGAGGAGAGAGATAGAGAAAAAGCATGTGCAAATATGGTAATGTAGCAACATTTGTGCATGTTTCTGGTAATTGTTGCAATATTAGAGAAATGGAAGAAATATTAGATTAGTCTCATTACATTGAATCATTATTATCGACTTCTTTATATTTATTGCTTAAACATGATTATAGTAACAGTTAAAGCTGTGTATTGGTAAACATGAAAGTCAATATTGAATGAACAAAAAAAATAACAAACAGTGTATTAGTATACAGCCTATTCTTGATAGAATGCTGCGGGAGCATTTCAAGCACTGCGCTTAAGATACAGATATTCTTGCTCAAAGAAAAACTTATGGTGTTACTTTGTAGATTTGTACAGTTATTCTTAATTCCGTACAAATACTGTTTGCCAAGTAAGACATTAAAACTGAAAATTGATGTTCCTCACTAAATTAGCTACCTGGCAATTCATCCTCCCCCCCCCCTCCCCTACAAAAAGGATAAAAACATCAGCGGAGAGGGCGATGGAGAAGATAAAGGGAAGAAGGGGTGAAATTGAACAGAGGGCAAGAAAGATGTATTAAGTAGTTTAAGGTGAGAAATTACTTGAGAAAGCCTGTCAGCATTCGCTGGTATATGTGAAATTTCAGCAGCGTCAAAAGAAGGTGAATTTAAGTTTCTCATTGCTCCGTCAACTTTGATACCAGATGATAATTGCCCTGGTACAATTCTCTCTCGCAAGCTGGTTGCACCCCTGAAGAATCCTTGCTTCCAGCTTTCAGAATCAACTGCAGATTTACCAGCAGACGCTCAGCAAAAGAACAACCCATGTAAAGATGCAACAACAACAAAGCCTTAGTCTTAAAATGATTTGGGGTCGGCTAACATGAATCGTTATAAGGACCTTTTCGCAGAGAAATGGATCGTAGCTAGATAATTGATTAAATAAAAGTGGGTAGGAGAATAATAAAAGAAAATTTATCATCTTGCATATTGCACATGATGTGGAAACCAACACCAACACAAGGGAGTGGAGCAAAAACAGCAATAGCAAAATGGTTCCACAAGTTCAAGCTCATACACCTCCTTCTCTAGCATTATAAATATTAGGTTAACGGTAGATTGCTGAATGCCTGAATCATTATAAGCGGAAGGATTAATTTGCTCTAATTAAAAACTAAAGGGGTCACACAACTAGCACAATGTAACTCTCACAGCCCAAAGAACCCTAACTCATCCTCCGTTTTCTGCACCACTGCACGTGCAGTGGGTAAATAAGTAATATAACACAGAGTACAGAGTAGTAAACTATCACCTGGAAGAGTTCCTCCAGCTTCAGACTTGCCAGCAAGCCTCTCCTTTCTCATATCAGGCATGCCAGAATGAGAATCAAGCTGTTGGGAGATATCTTCCTGTATTTCTATGCCAGATGAATCAGTCCTCTTTCTCTTGATATTGGCTCTTTTAGGATCTTTCTGTATACCTTGTTGCTCCCAACCTGGCGGTTCACGCCTATCCTGTGAATATGAGTTTGTAGATCTAGTGTCAATACTTGAAGGGCTCTCATGATCAAACGACATTGCACTCCTTTGGGAAACTGGTCCTTGGAAAGGATCGTTACCAATACTGCTAGGAACAGCAGGTGGCTTGCCAGAACTAAAACCATCAGGCCTTGTGGTCTCATTTTCAATCATGCCTGATTTAGAGTCTGCGACAACTCCAGCAGACTGTGAACATCCTGCAAAGTAGTTCAACGATTACAAAACATTCACGTTGAATAAATGAAATGCTTGAAGGAGAAAAAAATAAAATCTTCAATAGGAGTAGTTAACACCTGCTGATTGTGCTCTGGCAGACTCTCCCAAATGAGATCCACTACTCAGAGGAAGGCGTGACGACATCAATGCTTCAATATCAAGGCCGTGCTGATTTATAACAGTCTCCATGGCCCTTGTGAAATTGAAATTTAAAAACAGTAAAGTAAGCACTTTTCCCGATCATAGCTCTAATATTGTAGTTAAAAATAAACTATCGAGCAATAGCAAGATATCAGAATCTAATTAACAACATGGTTTCGCCTAACTGAAGAAACGCAACCAGAGTCTGGTTTGCATGAAGATTTATTAAACCTCTTCTATTTCACCACCCAAATCTAACAGTTTTTTGCATGCAAGCCACATCACGACAACATAAATCAATCGAAAAATTTCAAGGTCCACTATTTCACCGTATGCTTTCATAATAAAACATAAAACTAATGAAATGATGAACTCATTGTAAACTACTTACCTAGATATTACTTGGTACGGCATAGAATTTTCTTTCCCACTTGCTTTCATATGTTGCAATATCTAAAACATACAAAACATATGAAAATTAACAACCATATAATCCTAACATATTATATCAAAGATCACCAAAATTCGACTTGGAAAAGAAGACAGAGACAACGACAGCAACATCGAAGACTCACAACATAGAGTTTCGTCGCCAATTTTGCAGGCTCGTCTGTAGACTCGTGAATGAGCTTCTGCAAAAATTTGGCAGCCTCAAATTCAACATTATGAGGATGGAGATCCGCCATCTTGTTTAACTATAAAAATCACAAACAACAAAAAAATATCAATTTCATTAATGAAACAGTAAAAGTAGCTCAATTTAACAATCTATAGCAAAAAAAAAAAAAAAAAAAAAAAAAAAAAAAAAAAAAATACATTAAACAAGGGTTCAGTAGGTTCAACTGAACTAAACCCTTAAATCTAAATAAAAAAAATAGAAAATTTCAGTAAAAAATATAGATGAATCTGGAACCCTAAGAGTGAGATTTCTAGGAAAAGTTTGAAGATACCCGAAATTCTCAATTATTAGCTTGTAGATGGAGAAAATATCAAATTCGTAAGTAGTTGGGGAAATCCAAAATTCCTAATGTTCAATTCAATTAATGTTAGTGTTGAATGAAACCCTAGATTGTGAGATTAAATTTTGATGGTATAATTAAATTGATAGTTGAATATGAACTTACCTTAAGCTGCTTCAATGGAGAACTCTGAGTACGCTGCAATCAAGGATAGAGAAATAGGTGAAGCGTACAAGTGAAAAGGAACAAAGTAACTTTGTTTCCGTCCACGATGATGTTACTGAAGGGGTTTTTTTTTTTTTTTCCAAGAGTAAAAAGGCAAAAATTTTATTAATCACAATCAAGAATATACACGGAGGCTACTAAGCCCCTAATAAGCAAATATGCTTAAGCCAAGCTAATTCACTAGCCTTACCTCTAATAGCAATTAAGCTGCTAATTCTATGATATACATCATAACAAATCCTACTAATTACAACATCATGCCTAAGCATTCTATTCTTCCAAACCACTTCATTCTCTGTTGCCATATATTGTAAATGAGAGCATAACATAGAGCTTGTAGAAGAGACTTCTGAAAACCTATTCTTAGCCTTCCATTACCAAGTGTTGCAATCTTCCAGGGTTGAAAACTGACTCTGAGATGAAGAACATCTTTCTTCCCTACAATAGCTGAACAAGTTTCTTGTTGTAATCCCACTGAAAGAATAAATGTTGAATATTTTCAGCACCTTGGGAGCATAAAGGACAACTTTTATAAGAAATTACACCATATTGCTTCAGTTTCTCTCTAGTTCTTAGTCTACCCCACATAGCCATCCAAGCAATAACATGCTTTGGAATGCTATATCTATTCCAAATCATGTTACATTATGAAACTTCAGGGTTATCTTTTAGCATCCATCCATAAGCACTAGCCACAATATATTCACCATGATTATGCTTCCAAACATTACCAGCAAACCCATCTTTAATTTTCTCCTTAATCTTCCAGACTTGCCTCCATTGTCAACTAGCTTGCCCAGGACACCAAACTCTCTTCAAGTTTCTGCCTTTAATGTAATAATGGCATACCCATCTTAACTAAAGGCTGTCATTCTTGTTTGCAATGTCCCAAACATACTTCCCCATAGCAGCAGCGTTCCAAATGTGACAGTCATGAACACCTAGACCACCTTGTTTCTTTGGTCTACAAATGATATCCCAGGCAATGGGAGGATTCTGAAGAAAACAGCCCTGACATCCCAAATAAAATTTCTACACACAGCCATAACTCCATCCAACATCTTTTTAGGCAAAATAAACAAGTTTGCCCAATAAGTATGCAAAGAAAAAATAATAGAGTTAACCAAAGTTACTCTAGCATAATAGGACATGGTTTTACTTCCCTAAATTTTGATTCAAGGAACAACCAAGTTAATCAGGATCTGACCGTCATCCACTAGAGTTTCTTAGCATTTACTTGCACTCCCAAATACTAAACGGAAGTTGACCCTCCTTAAAACCAAAAAACTGATACTTTTGTCCTTAACTCCCTAAGGCACATTGGAGAAATAGACATTAGACTTGCCTTCATTAGTAATCAGCCTTAAAGTAGCAGCAAAAGTAGCAAAACCTCATAAAAGAAGCTTAGAAGATTTCTCATCTCCTCTACTCATTACAATCAAATCATTTGCAAACACAAGATGATTAAGTTTAATCCCCTTACATCTTGAATGAAAGTGATAATCCTTATGCTCTCCAATTTTATGCAGGATTCTAGAGAGATATTCCTCGTAAGCAAATAAAAGAGAGGATAAAGGATCCCCTTGACTTAAACCCTTCTTCCCTGGAAAGAACCCTTTAACTTCTCCATTAACAACAAGAGAGAAACTAGGAGTTCTAACACATTCCATAATCATCTTAATGAAATGCTCAGGAAACTTTAAAGCTACCAGCATATCTTCAAGAAAACTCCAATTCACAGAATCATAGGTTTTACAAATTTCAATCTTGAACATGCACCCAAGAGGAGAGTTCTTCCTTCTATATCTGCCCACAAGATCTTGCACAATACAGATGTTACGGTTTTTTCACCACATACCCTTGAGTTTTTTTTTATTCACCATATACCCCAAAAAAGTTCCAAATTGACTATATACCCTTAAAAAATTTCAAATTTACTATATACCCTTAAAAAATTTCAAATTTACTATATACCCTTGAGTTATTACAAAAATTCACCATATACCCCTAATGACAACAAGATGAGTGGGATTTGATTAATTATTCATCGAAACCACCTTAGATCTCTCCCACCATCCTCGAAACCACTCCTCTCCTTTTTTTCAACTCCCAAAACCACTCCAAATCTCCATAATCATATTTGTGTGATTGGGTTTGAGGATTGACGAGTGGAAAACTAGGTTGTTATCTAATCTTCCCTCGGTCAAACTAAATTTATAAACACTTAACAAACCTAAATACGAGTATAGAGGCAAGTCAAGGGTCGAACCCAAAGGAACGGTAATGTTCAAGCACTTTCAATTATGCGCCTAAGCTAGGTCGAAGACAAAGGTAAGAGAGAATACTAACAACTAACAAAACAAGTAACCAAGGAAATAAAGCACTAGGAACGAGGATCAACAAGTAATCATGTCAATTGCAACAACTTGGGAAGAGCATGCCAATCAAAGGTTGTGAAGACTAATGATAAGAGCAATCAATTGAAATCAAAGAGCTATCTCCTAATTGATAAGCTAGGGTTCACTATGAATAACAAACTAAGAGAATCACAATCAAAACCAATCGATAATTGCAATTCCTAAATCAATTGTTCGTGTCATTAGCTATTATAATGCAATCTAGCATAATTCTCAAGGCCTAATCGAATTACACACATGCAAACCTTCATCAATCACTTTAATCTCAACAATCAATCAAAACAATTCCCAAATTAATCACAATTAATCAATCATGCAAGTTTCACCCAATTTCTAGCCAACAACTACTCAAATATCATCATCTATCAACAATCAACTAAAGAAATCAAGAATCAACATTATATCAAGAACAATTACACTAATCAACCATCAAACATCAAAGTTAAACCAAACAAACATGAAATTAAACAAAGCAATAAGGTGAGATAGAGTTAAGAATGCTCATTGATAACAGAGAGGATCTTTGTAGACACCCATTTGTGTCTCCCCAAAACCAAACCCAGTGATGAGCACCTTTTGCGTCGAATCATAATCGAATGAAGCGAAAGTGTGGAAAGTTTAGTGTTTTGGATAGTTTTAATTTTCTTTTCTCTTCTCTCTGTTTTTGAAAACTTATTTTAAGAAAACAACCAATCCAGTTTCGTTGGTCCATGATATGGGTCCAATAGTAGTGTATTTGGATGGGGATTGACAAGAGCTTTCCAACGATATATTATAAGCCCAATTCCGATGAATATTGAGGAAGTTATGGCCAATTTACTAAACTGGGCCCGGTTTGAGCCTTATATGCGGCCCAATGATCTAGGGGAGGGCCTAATATTGTTTCTGGGGTTTTTTTCCCTTGGGAGAGTTACAACACTGAAACTGGATTCAACTGAGGACGCCTGTACCTGCAAAGCAAACGGACCGCCGGATGGTCCGCCTCCGAAGATTAAGTTAGCAAGCGTTCGGTAATAAAACGTGCGGAAATAAAGTTATCTGCTCGGATTCCAAGCTTAGGTAAAGTGTGATAAGTGACGTATTGTCTCGTATTGCGTGTAAAATTCTCTCTCTTGTCATAAATGCCAGAATATCCCTATTTATAGGGTCCTTTTGAAAAGTGTGCCCTTCCTAGGATCTGGTGACTTAGGAATTAGGTCACGCCGTTTTGCGGCGCCTCGGGATTTGGGCCTTTGAAGGCCGCCATCCTAGGGCCAATGCCTGAGTGACACGTGTCATTGAGCCCAAAAGGATTCTAAGGCACCTTTCGAGTGACACGTGTCTCCACCTGAATGGTCCCTGCTGGATCTTCAGTCCGTGTAGGACAGAGAAGAATCCGCCCTCCACGTGTCATCATTCCATGGGTCCAAATGGCACCTATATGGAGGACACGTGGCGCTTTCTGATTGGGCCACCTGGCCGGGTATAAAATACCCAAATCATTTGCCCCTCACAGGGGTCACGTGCATTGCACGTGACTCCTGTGACAGGTGTCAGCATCTGAGTGGTCAGATTCAAAAATTACTGGAGGGAAAAAATTAGGGTTTTACCCCCCTATAAATAGTGAGGTTTGACCCCCCCCCTTGGATTCACACCTTTGCGAATCTTTGGAGAATCTTGGACTTTTTGACTTAAAGAATCTCAAAATTCCCTAAGCGTTTTTCAAGCATCCGACACTCGGCCAACAGTCCGACCGTTCTTTAGTCAACCAAGCGTCTTTTTCCCTTCTTCTAAAGGTAACGCCTATTTTTTTTTTCTTTTACTCTTCATTTTTTCTTTGTTTTCGAAAAAATGGCTCCCCAATTGCATGCGGCACGGCGTAGGATAGTGATCAGCCGGTCACCGGGGACGACTGAATCTAGAACTAGCAGTGCCGAATGCTTGGCCAAAGACCCTGCTTTGCGAACTTCTCCGAATCCGACCGTTTTTGTGTCTGTGCAGGACACTATGGCCAGAACCAAAAGAACAGCAAGGTAGTGTAGCTCCGATGGAGTTTTCTACTATTCGAATGGGTCGACTGTTTATTCAGACGGCTCAATAAGAGTGCCTCGAAGTGAGCTGTCGGAACATCCTGACAGCCCTTCTTATCTTCCTCCTACCCCCACCTATTACCATTCGCCCACATCTAGTGGAACTCCCAGTGATGGAATCCTGGGGGAGGCAGATGAAGAATATCAACCCGGGCCTTCTGGACAGGCGCCGGAAGAGAGTCTAGGGGAGGACCCCGCTGGCACCAGTCGGCGGTCCCCTAGCTCTGATGAGAGCTCTGATGACGAGTCGGCCTCGTCATCTTCTTCAGAGAACGCCTCCATAACTTCAGAGAAGGCTAGATCAAAAATAGATTCTACCATAGAGTCCCTGGCAGTGGATAAGGGGGAAAGCTGGACCGAGCCGAGCGCTTCCAGGCGCTTGGAGAGAGCCCCCTATTATCATCATGTTTCGTCCGGCAGGCGGAGCTCCATGGCATCCGGCCTTGCCAATTTTAGGCGCAAGGTCGTCCTAGGCTATGGCTACACTTTGTCGGTCCCTAACGAGGGTGACACCATAACCTGGCCGAGCCTGGCCAGCTATCAGGACAGAGCATTTGGCTGCTATGAAGCGGCCTTCCAAGCTGGCCTCCGCTGCCCTCTCCATCCGGCCGTGGAGA